TACATTTACTATCCACCCCCTACCCCCCCCCCCACTCCCAAAATCCAAAATTCAAAGAAGTTCACAAGGATTTTGTCCTCTCCTTTATAGCTCACCTCTATTTCATCGACTATAAATACTTGCCCCCTTTAAACCCCATTTTCCCACATAAGAAAATCACAAAAATCCTAAGTTCAATTAAAAAAAAAATAAACAAAGGTTTTCACTTCTATCTATTGCTAGAAAAAAAATGGGATTTTCCCATTATGAGTTACCAAAAATGTTGTTTATTTTTTTAGTCTTTATGAATTCTTGCATGTTTTCTTATGGTGGAAATTTCATTCAAGAATTTGACTTTAATTGGGGTGGTAATAAAGTCAAGATTTTCAATGGAGGCCAAATTCTTTCTTTATCTATGGACAAACTCTCTGGCTCTGGTTTTCAATCCAAAAAAGATTATCTTTTTGGGAGAATTGATATGCAACTCAAACTTGTTACTGGAAATTCGGCTGGCACTGTCACATCATACTATGTAATTCTTTTTAAAAATTATACCATCAGATTTTTCTATAATAACATTGCTTGTCTGAATACTTTGTTACCTTAATAAAATGTTGTTATAGAAAACAAACAACATAACATAGCATGACATGAAAATTCATTTTCTAATAAAATTTTGCCGTTATGATAAAATGTAATTATAGATGACGATTGTTACAAAGACAGCAAAAGAACAATTTTCTAACATTTTATTTGGATTATTTTGCAGCTATCTTCTAAAGGATCAACTCATGATGAAATTGACTTTGAGTTCTTAGGAAATGTTAGTGGTGAACCATTTATTCTTCATACAAATGTCTTTAGCCAAGGCAAAGGAGACAAAGAGCAACAATTTTACCTATGGTTTGATCCTACCAAGAACTTCCACACCTACTCAATCATATGGAAACCACAACACATCATGTAAGAACAAACTTATTATATATACATATCCAAAATTTAATTCCATTTTATGCTATTCTACCTAAATCACTATATGTTATCATAGGCGAATTCAGAATTTGAAGTCAATATGTTTAGAATTTAATCTTATTATACATATACACACATAAGCATCAATTGTTTTATTTTATGTGTCAATATTAGTACTATATGGGGTGTCTAAGAGATTTTTTGTGATTCAAATTATATGTTACTAACTATTATGTCTTGTATATTTTTTAATTTTTTTTGTATGTAGTCTCTAAATATATAACTTTTATTTAAATGAAGTTAAAGAATCTATGTCTGATTCGTATGTTGTTCGGACTTTCTAAATATATTGTTGCACTTGCACACGTATCAATGTTCGAGTAACATAGCCAAATTCATGCCGAAAAATTAAGTAGTTTGACACTCGTACTCTTCTACACTCTGTCACATAAAATGAAACAGAGGAACTATATGTGAGTGTATATCAATATTTTTTTTACTTTGCATATGATACCTAGTTCGAGGAGTTGATTTCTATCACTCAATTAATACTTATTATCTTAGAAAGTCACTTTTTTGTTCAAACAAAGTATAATCATAAAGAAAAGTGATTTTCTGAGATAATACACTAACTATTAGATGAGTGACAATCTGAGAAATCAATCCTTAGTTCGAACAGAAAGTAATGAGTTCAGTTGAACCAACAGAAACCGTCCTAACTCCTATATGTGCATGTGCTAATCATTACTCATTGTTTATTTTGATTTTCTTTTTCTTTTTAGTTTCTTGGTGGACAACACTCCAATTAGAGTATTCAAGAATGCAGAATCACTTGGTGTTCCATTTCCCAAGAACCAACCAATGAAAATTTACTCAAGTCTATGGAATGCTGATGATTGGGCTACAAGAGGAGGACTAGTGAAAACTGATTGGTCAAAAGCACCATTCACAGCCTATTATAGAAATTTCCATGCACAAAAGTTTAACAAATCTCAGTTTTTAGATGCAAAATGGCAAAATCAAGAACTTGATGCTAATGGAAGAAGAAGACTTAGATGGGTTCAAAGGAATTATATGATTTATAATTATTGCACTGATTACAAAAGATTTCCTCAAGGTTTTCCTCTAGAATGTAGAAAATTTTGAGTTTGTATGGTTACGTTGCTCGGTCTCTCCAAAAATGTTGTCGCGCCTATGTCAGATCCTATCTGACATGTGATTGATGGCTTTTTTTTGAAGAGTTCGAGCAACATAGGTTGTATGTTGAATATGTTATGATTGTAGTTCTGACTTGTAATATGACAATATCTTATGCCTACCAAAAGTTTATTAAATTCGAAATTCTAATAAGAGGGAAATTCAGGATTTGAACTTTATGTGTTTGAGATGTTAGTGAATTCACTTATTGTTGAGTTATGGGATTCAAAATTTAGTACTTGTTTATATTTAGTAGATTTCTCGACAAATATATTATTAAGTCTAAGCTAAAGTTACTTAGTTCGACTGAATCGTACTTTTGAAATCTCACCACCAACCAACCAAAAAACAGAACAGAAAGAAAGCAGACTACAGAGTGTTTGCACAAGTTTCAAATTAAGCTAGACTTACAACTAAAGCACCATAACATGTCATGGTTTATTACTTTTATTCAAACACGTAACTATTTATTTATAAAAATCGGCTTTAGCACTTGATACTAAATGCCTTGGTGGGTAGAATCACTTGATACCTGAGTTGGTGAAATAGTCGCGGTATGCCAAGATGGCCTAACGGATGCGGCAACATTTTTGGAGACTCTAAGTAACAAATGATTTATTCACCAAGCAAAATCTCATTAACATAAGCCTTGAGATTGACATTAGATGAACCATTTTCCTTCATAGCATCCTTAGCTAAATCCCTCCATTTCTTCGCATTTTTTCTTATTTCCCCATCTCCCACCACAATCTCTATACACCTCGCGAACTCATTCCTCTCAATAACACCTTCATCATTGGCGTTCACTCTGACTCCCGTCTTCCAAACATCTTGAATAAGCTTCGCATTACTTAATTGATCGATCCAAAGAGGACATGCCACGACTGGCACCCCCGAAGCCAAACTCTCCATACTCGAATTCCATCCACAGTGCGTCAAGAAACATGCCAACGAAGGATGTTGTAGAACCTCCACTTGTGAACACCAATCCACTGTTTTCCCTAACTCTTCCAATTCCTCTTTGCAACTCAACTTTTCAAATGGCTTTTCGCCATTCGCCCCCTCTCTAATTATCCACAAAAATGGCCTTTTACACAAAACTAAACCATGAGCAATCTCTTCCATAAGTTGATTTGGTATTTGAGAATAACTACCAAATGCTATGTAAATTACAGATTTTTTAGCCTTAGAATCCAACCAATCCATATAATTTTCGAGACTTCGTCTCATATCAACTCCAAATGAAGTATCAGAAGAATCATTTCCATCAAGAAATGCTGAAGGAATCAAAGGGCCAATTCCGAATATAGTAACATTCTCTATAACATTCAAAGCATCAAATTCCAAAGCATCGAAAGTGTTCACAAGAACTTTTTGGTTTGTCTCACTCTTTAGTAACTCAACATGTTCTTTCATGGCAAGTAATGTCCAATCATTCGAATCATTAAACACGATAGAAGGGAAATCACGACGAGACAACAAAGGCAGACCAGGAAGCTCAAAAGATTGATCTTTTGAACAATTCTTGATAGAATCCTCATAACCATTGAAAAAATAGTAGTAAATATTCAAGACTGAGGCTGGTTGAATCCAAAGAAACGTCGATGGAACGTTTATACTCTTGGCTAATAAACCAATCCAGGCAGTTAACGTCGTGTAGATGATACGTTTAAAAGGGCAGCCCTGTTTTGCCCTGTCTTCGACTAAATTCGTGACAAATTCAGTACCATGAGTCCTCAATGATGCATTGAACTCACGGAAACTGTTCGTAGAACCATTGAAGTTGCCATCAAAACCATCAGAGAAAGGAGCAAATGTTAATCCTTGTATGGTTGGAAGATTCGAGATTCGATTAAAAGCTGTTAGGCTTGTTGAGAATGTGACATTTACACCTAATTTGATCAAATTCTTGGAAAATTGAATACATGGATTTATATTTCCTTGTCCTGTAAATGAAACAACAAGAACATGACAATCATCATTCAAAGATGCCATTTTTTTGAGGTAAATAAGAATGATGGAAATGAAACAAGACGAACATGAAAATCGTCTATATGTTTATTAATTCTTAGAGATTGCAGAAGATAATGAGTGAGTGAACAGCATCCAATTCTGTTAATTGTACAATTGGGGACCAGTTTATATGTGTAGTAACCTATATGGCTCCGACTCTTTAGAAATATCGACAGGTGCATGTTGGATATTCCAAAAGTAGTGCATATTTGGAGAATTCGACTGCAGTGCAACAATATTTTTGGAGTGTTCAAACAACAGTAACTGATCTTGTTCTTATGAAATAATAATTCTTAGAATTTAATGTTTAACTGTAGGAAATTGAGATAAAATGTCCGTGAATATCGAGGGATTTGATCGAATGGATAGGATATTTTCACTCTTAATCAAAAGTGTCAAAGTTTGAGTTTTAAGAAAGGGGAAATCCTTGATTTGTTAAAGAGAGGTTTCGCCTTTAATAGATCATATGTAACATGAATCTGAATTAGTTGGACCAATGAATTCCAGATACCAGATAGTTAAAATAGCACTTCAAATTGGATTACAAAATCAAATCTCCGCGTATATGAAGTGTAATGCTCAAGAACATGACTATAACTTGTCATGAATCTTTCAAATAGGATTTTATTAGAAAACTTGAAGGCACAATAATAACAAGATAGAAATAACAAGATCACTAAACTATCCTATGTTGCTCGAACTTTCCAAATGTTGTCTCACTCATGTCGTATCCTCCAAAAAAATGCACTACTTTTGAAGGATCCAACATGCAGTTGTCAACGTTTTACAAAAGTCCGAGCAACATAGAAGCTAATCTCATCTTATTCTTGACAAATAATAAGCAAATGATACAAAGAGACATATCAATAACCTTTGGCAATTTCTTCAATAAAAGCCTTTAAATTCTTGTGTGAAGATCCACCTTCTTTCACAGCTTCTCTAGCCAATTCTTTCCATTTTTTCGCATTTTTTCTCATTTCTTCCCCTTTTACCCCTCCATCCATTACCAATTCAATGCACCTTTTCAATTCTTCACTCTCAACAATACCATCTTCATTCACATTCACTCTAACTCCACTCTTCCACACATCTTCAATTTGTTTAGCATTTGTCATTTGATCAGTCCATTGAGGAAACGCCACGACCGGTACTCCACAAGCTAAGCTCTCCAGAGCTGAATTCCATCCACAGTGTGAAACAAAACATCCTAAAGACGGATGTCTCAAAACTTCGAGTTGTGAACACCATGGTACAATTTTTCCTATTTTTTCCAACTCTTCAATACAACCAATTGTTTTTTTCTCATTTTCTTTGTTTTTTTCATCTTCTTTTATTATCCATAAAAATGGTCTCCCTATATCTATCAACCCTTTTGATATCTCATCCATTTGACTTATTGATGGATTCATTAAACTCCCAAATGATATATAAACAACAGATGAATTTTCATTTGTGTTTAACCATTCTATATAGTCATTTGACTTGTCAAAAAGATCAGCACCAAAACAAGAATCCAAAGGGTCATTTCCATCTAAAAATGCACTAGGAATTAATGGTCCAATTCCATAAAAGTTGTAATTTTCAATTGCTTTTAATGCATTTGGCTCTAATTCATCAAATGTATTCACAAGAATTTTTGGATTAATTTCAGAATCTAATGTGTTTATTAATTCTTTGAAAGGTGGAAGTGCAACTCGAAGGCTTCCTTTTACATTTGATGGAAGTAAAAATGAAGGAAGATCTTTAGTTTTTAATTGTGGAAGGCCAGGAAGTTGAATGGACCAATTTGGATCATTTGATTCATTTGCCATTTCTTTTTCATATCCATGAAAGTTGAAATAATATATGTCTAAGATTGTAGCTGGTTGACTCCAAAGAAGAGCTGAAGGAATGTTGACTTCACGTGCGACCTGTTCAGACATAATATAATTAAAATAATTCAACATAACATATAGGAGGATGTGTTTAAGCCCATGAAAATGAAACAAGTCGGAAACATATAGGAGGGCATGCTAAAAGTTGAGACATAATGAAACTAAGGGATAATAGTACTTTTGGTACATAGATTCTGATTTTAGTTCTTGTGATAATATATTTGACTAATCAAACATATTTAATCTTTAAATAATAAAAATGTCTTTTTTTTGTCCCTTTAGCTAGGAAATATATTATATTTATACTATTTTTAAAAGTATATTAGGTAATTACAAACTTAACATAACACATGGGTAATTAAATAGTATAGCGATTAATAATTTGGTAAAGTTGTCGCAAAAGGATTAAAAGTGCATCATATCAATTAATTGAAAGTTCAATATACTTGGTCAGATGTCATAAGGATCAAAATCAAAATTTACTTATAACCGAGAGACTCAAAGTACTATATTCCTATATATAATCAAGAATGTGCTGGTAGGAGATAGTAGATACCCTGTGAAATTAGTCAAGATGTGTGGAAACAGACCGGACACACAAGTAATAATCAAGAAGGAAAATTACCTCTGCTGCCCAAGGAAGAAAAATGGAGTAAAGTAGGCAAGTTATAGGACTTCCATTTTCAGAACAATTGATGATAATATTTTTGACAGTTTCACTTCCACATTTTCTAAGTTGTGACATGTAACATACAGGATCTTTTGAATGATCAAATCCATCATCAAATCCATCAGAAAATGGAACAAAATTCATTAACCCCTTTGGAAAATTATCAATGGATTTTTTTTCATCCATAAGTCTTTGTGCATAAATACTTGTAGAAAATGTCACTTGTATGCCATTTTTTACAAGATTTTTGGCAAATTGTAGTGCTGGATTAATATGACCTTGTGCTGGAAATGTTGTTAAAATAACATGAGGCTTCACCATTTATTTTTTAAAAAAAAAAAACTTGCTATTATTTTTATTGGTTTTGTATTGTGATGGATAGTTGATTTGCTCATGAAATATATATAACACATAACATAATGTTGGGTGGATGGTGGGGGGTGGCACATTTGTATGTGGAATGGGGAGTGTAACTACCATTATTTGGAGAGTACAAAAGGACCATTTATGTGTCTTAAATGACAAGTGATGGACCTAATAGTACTTTTGTTATAAAAAATCAACAGTCTTATATCAATTGTCATAGTGTTAAGAGTTAATTACATTCTATTTCTACTCTTTTTTAAATTACAGAAATCTCTTAAATTTCGTGGAATCTGGCAAAACGCCTTGATACATTGCGTGCTGGTTTCGGATACATCATTCAACGTCTCAATACATCGCATCTCGGTTTCAAATACATCACTAACACCCTGATACATCGCATACATCTCGATACATCGAGTAAAGTGATATATCTGATCAATTCAAAGCAGAACACACATTCATTAGGCATAATAGTCACTCGGCCCTCTTTATTAATTCTTATCCTAATTACATATTTGTCCTCCCTCAAGACCATTTAATTTCTACATACATATTTAATCCCTCCGTTCATTTTTAATTGTCATGTTGCGCTTTTCGAAAGTTAATTTAATTAATTTTCAAAGCTAAATTTGATTACATTAATTCGATATTTTAAACAAAAACTTTAGATATTCAAAAACTATACGAAAAGTACTATAAATTACAATTTTTTATATATCAATATGATGAAAAAACACGTCGTAAAATGTTAGTCAAAGTTCTTATAGTTTGACTCTAAAAAAGGAAATCATGACAATTAAAAATGGACACTTCGTTATATTATCAATTCATTCATGTGTGATACAAGATCAACTTCATTCACTTGCACCTTATTCCTGTCATTTACACATAAAAGCGAAATATAAAATTAAAATTTGACAAGTTTAATATTTAACGTTTTAAATTTTACATACATAGTGTAATTTTTTGACGTAGGAGCGAGGACCTGCCGTCCTTCTCTATGAGAACAAGTTTCTCTACTAAGTGACAAACTAGAATAGCTAGATCTTGTTAGTTATTGAGAAAACCAAAGATCAATTCACCATGAATAAACAACATTCTAGCTAGCTTAAAACTCTTTATAAAGAACAAATAAATTAGACAAAATATTTCTTAACCATTAATCGATAAAACCAAAGATCATTTTTTCGGTTTGGTTTGATTTGATTTTGAACATTTCTAGTACAAACATGTGTACGTATATACACCAGGGTAGCTTGTTAGAATATTACATTGTATATATAAAGATCGAAATATTATTTATATATGTATATAGTAGATTCTGAATTCCATTATCTTCTTTGATTCACGTGTTTACTTCTATAAATTATGAATCCTCTTAGAGGGTGTTTGGATTGACTTATAAGTTGGTCAAACTTATTTTTGAGTCAGTTTTTTATTTCTGGAAGTGTTATGCAAATATAAAAAAATAACTTAAAAATAAGTTTTAAAAAAATTACTTAAAATAAGTTAGGAAATGTTTGACAAGATAAAAAATGACTTAAATTAAGTCAAAAACCAAAAGTAGGTCTCCCCCTACTTTTTATTTTCTTTACTTAAAAGTCATTTCAATTTGATTTTTTATTTTTAACTTAAAAATTACTTTTTTTAACTCAATCCAAATGAGTTTAAACACTCGATTCACTAAATCTTTTAGTCAAAAGTATATTAATTTTGTCATTAATTATATATTTATTAGTTTGGAATAAACACTCTATTCACTAAATCTTTTTCCTTTGACACCCCTATATATATATATGTAATCATTCAGTCCAACTTGAGTATAACATCTCATCAACTTCACAATCATATAATTAAGAAGCCACTTACCATATTATATTTAATCAAACATGAATAAACAACATTTCCTTGTTATTTCTTTGCCTGCACAAGGCCACATAAACCCCACTCTCCAACTAGCCAAAAACCTTGCACGCGCCGGTGCACGCGCCACCTTCGTCACGACCGTTTACGGCCTCAACCGAATGAACAACCTTCCAACACAAGACGGGCTATTCTATTCCTCGTTCTCCGATGGGTACGACGATGATTCTTGGATGAATTCGAACAACACCATGGATTATTTCATGAACGATTTAAAGATAAACGGATCGAAAAACCTCAAAGATCTCATTCAAAAATTTTCCGACGAGGGTCACCCCGTTACGTTCTTGGTCTACACAATTCTCTTGCCGTGGGTTGCGGTGGTGGCGCGTGAGATACACGTGCCGTCAGCTTTTCTTGTCATTCAATGTGGTACTGCTTTTGCAATTTATCACCATTTGTTAAATTCCACTAACGGAGTTTATAGTAACTCCGTTAGCGATTTTACGGTTATGCCCTCCTTTCCTATTGAAATTCCGGGATTGCCCTTATTTTCATGCAATGATATTCCTAATATAGTTTTACCTAATAATCATCTTTCTTCAATCATGATACCTATTTTGAGAGAACACATACAAAATCTTGAAAATGATCCAAATTCTTATGTACTCATCAACACGTTTGACGCGTTAGAAGAAAAATCCATGAGAGTTATCGATAAATTCAGGATGTTTTCGATAGGCCCTTTGGTTCCCTCAGCTTTTTCTGACGGAAATGACCCTAAGGACAAGTAATTTGGATGTGAATTATTTGATAAATCCGAAAAGAACTATCATCAATGGTTGGATTCGAAACCTGAGGGCTCAGTTGTGTATGTATCATTCGGGAGCTTAGCCGTGTTAAAGAAAGAGCAAGAGATAGAAATTTTACGTGGATTATTAGAAAGTGAAAGGCCTTTTTTATGGACGAGGAGAAAAGGGGAAGACGGAGGAAAAAAGAAGAATCTTGAATATGACGATGTTATAATAGACGAAAAATTAGGTTTAATTGTGCCTTGGTGTTCACAAATGGAGGTACTATGTCATAAGTCGATAGGGTGTTTTGTTACACACTGTGGATGGAATTCAACTCTGGAAAGTCTGGTGAGTGGGATACCTATTGTGGGGTATCCACAATTTTCTGACCAAACAACAAATGCCAAAATGTTGGAGGAAGTTTGGGGAATTGGTGTAAGAGCAAAAGAAGTGGAAGGAATTGTTAAAAGAGAAGAGATAAAGAGGTGTTTGGAAATTTTAATGGAAAATGGAGAAAAAGGGGAAGAAATTAAAAGGAATGTGAAGAAATGGAGAAATTTGGCTTTGGATGCTGTGAAAATTGGAGGTTCTTCACATGACAATCTCAAGAAATTCATAGAGGGTTTGTGATATTATAATATAAAGAGTCGTTTGGTTTGAATACAAGATATGTTGGGATCAGTTATGCTGGGATAAGTAATACTGGGATAAGTTATGCTATGATTAGTTATGCTAGGATTAGTTTATATTACTTATTTGGTTTGTCGTATTTAAACTTGTATTCATTGCATAATTTCTAAGAATAAGTTGTTTGTTTACAAAAATACCCTCCACCTTATTTAATTTTTCTTATTTTTTACATTTTCTTTGCAAGCTTTAGTTATTTATTCTTAAAAATAAAATTTTCCATCTTATTTAGCTTAAAGAAACAATATAGAGTTTCTCATAAGAAAAATTGCAAGTGTACAATCAATTCACAATGTCTAATTGGGCTTTCATTCACAAGTTCTAAGTCCTTTGTAATCAAAGTCTAAAGTAGGGGTGTCAATTTTGGCCCAAATACAAATATAACCTGCCCAAGTCAACCACATACTAATATTCTATCTCTTACTATTTAATTATTCTCTCGGTTCGAATTTCGAGAATCAAACAGTTGAATAATACTTGTATCTGTATCAAACCTACCATCTCTTCACACGAAAGACTTTCCATTATGTTCCTGAAAGATCTGCAATATAAGTGACGCTGCTTCAAAGTCTCGGGCATGAAATCTTTAAAAATAAATAAAAAAAATAAACATATTTGAATACTACGTAAAAAGTACTATAAATCACAATAATTGATCATTCAAGATATATAAAAGACATGCAAAAATTATGACTAAAAAAAACTTATTTGAATCTCAAAATCTGAAAATACCACATAAATTATAATGTAAATTTAGATTAATCGGAGTCACAAGGTAACAAAGGGATAAAAAGTGGAATCCAAAAAAAACAACGAACAAAGTGGAAAACTTCCAAATGGAACCGGTATGATTCTTGGGAATTAATAAACTAAAAAAATGTATGAAAATAAGATAATAATATTAGTAAAAACAATTAACCCCTTAATTGACGGAGCAATATCATTATCAAAATGCTTCAAAAATTGACTTGCAATATATAACATCCACACGTTAGATTATTTAGCATAGTTTACATTGTTAGGAGATCAAAAATGATCATTCGAAAAGACAACACGGTTAAAGAATTTGGATATAAGTGAAAACGTAAAATTTAAGTCAAGATTACTGAATTCTCTTAAATATGTACCATCAACTTTATATATGTTTTGATATATTGACTTCCACTCAAAGTATAATTAAAAAAATTAGGCTCAAACTTAATAATTCTAATTCAAATATTGTATTTATGCTAAAAACTTTAGTTAATGTACGAATTATTAATTTAGATCTAAAAAATTAGTGTAGTGTTCAAAATTCCTAAGGTTCAAGTTCTCACTTCATGTCCTTGCAGAGCGAAGTATGGCTGAATTGAAGGGGGTTTATCGGTGAAAAATTACATTGTTTATATGTGCTTAAAATTAATTTTATGAATATAACAAATATTGAAACTTCTTTCAATTTTTTCGTGTGCTTACTTCTTCGTATAGACTCCATCACTTGGTTATAAGTTATTGTTATGCCAATTGATGTTTCAATTGTTTTACTAATATATAAGTTATAACACGGTAACGTGTCGAAAATATGAAGCGTGATACTTTGTCAAAAATTTTCTTAGTCAATAATTACTCCAAATTAAACAAACATTTTTATTATTTTATACCGGTAATTACG